CTTACACATAACCTGCAAAATGTTCTGATAAATGTGATAAAGTTCCATTCATAAATTTTATTATATGTAACCCAATGAACAGTTCATTTTACATGGCTAGGCTATGGACTCATATTACTGCAAGTATCCACTAATAATAGAGTGATAATCCCATGAAGCACTAACTCCATTACACCAAAGCCATGAATTATGCTAGAAATATGAACTCATCCATTGGAAGAATGAATTTGTTGGTTTTTAAATGAAGACATCAATATTCCCTAGTTCCAAACTGTTTTCCCCTCTCTTAATTTTTCTGGCGCAGTACAAATAGGTTTTATAATCCTCTAGTGGTTCCCTTTATTAGCGAAGCACACTGATCTATACTGTTGAGCTAAAACACAATATTAGAGATTATAAAAAAGATTTAGTGTTTTGAACCTTTGCACTGTTCAAGCTCCCAAAGTCATTCTGGGAGAGGATCAATTTCAATTATACTTTTACTGCTTGCATAATGGAGGTGGGTAGGGGCAGCCCAGGAAAGAGAGCAGTGAGAGTTGAGGTCACTGGGGCACCTGCCCCCTCCCCCCTTCCCCTCCCCCCACAGCAATGCTTCTCCTGACCTGAAGCTTTCTCCCTACCCAGGTCTGTTTCTCCATCCATGGCAGAGGGTTCACGATGGTACATTAAGTGACCAGAGTCAGTACTGACAGCTGAGTGTTCCAAATCCAGGCAGCCTTTTTAATGAAGTGTCTGCGATAGGAATCCTGGGCAAATGGGTAGTCAAGACTTTTCTTTCTTTAATTAACAGCAGGGTGTTGGGTGTGGCAAAGTTTAGTTAAATAACTAAATGCAGAATCTTGTTCTCCAAGGGGATAAAATCGGTTGGAGCCCAGCTAATTTACTCTGCCTTCGACCTGGGTTGTCCCATCTTATTTTCTGCTGGGAGGCAGGTTACCCAGGCATGCCAACGGCTCGCTTAGCGTTTCATCTCCCTGGGTCTAGTTGACTTAAGACCAAGCAAGGACCTAATATGCAAATGCTCGCCCAGACTCAGTCTCTCTCCTTCTTCACTTTGCTAGGGAAAGAGGCCTGTTCCTCTCCAAAAATAAGTTTCCATCGCCTTTAAATCATGATATACTTGAAATAAAATTCAAACCTCTTCCCCTGGCCCTGTGGTCGCCACTGCCCTTCCTGAGCCGCTCCCTGCTCTGCGGCCACACATTTCCCTGGTAAAACGGCTTCTCTCAGCACACCTGGCTCTTCTCCCCTCGGAGCCTTTGGACAACTCTTCGTTTTACCCCAAACACCTTTCCTTCCCTCTTACTCTCCAAGACTCCCTTCTTCCTTCTCAGAACAACCAATCCTGATCCCCTTTTATTAGCCAAAGCACCACCCTCACACGCCCTCATTCTCCATCTGCTGGCTCATCTCCTTTATATCATCACCTAACTCCGTTCTGCTACTCTGGGTGTCTGTTGGCCAACCAAGGCCCTGTGCAGGGCCCACACTTTTAGGACGACATCATGTGACTTGAAATAAATGTATTTCCTGTCTTTCCTATGGAGATGTGGTAAGTGGGGGACAATGGGGTATCTGAAGTAACACTTTAAAAACGAGCTGGCCCATGTTCTCAGGAACCGGTGCCATGACCACTGGCAGAGCTAAGGTCAGCACATCCTCTTAGAACATGGGAGGAGCTGGGCCAGGACGGGCCTGAGGGGCCTGCAGTCCTCACTCCACCAAGCCAGAGGCAGGGTTTTCCCAGAAAACAATTCCAGTTCTGCTCCAGTTCTGGGGCAAATTCCAAGCCATAGACAGAGCTGTGGTCCTTTTAGTCTGAATAACTTAGTGTTACTGAGCACCCATCATGGGTATAAAAAAAATGCATCAAATACTCATAAGCTAGCCTATGATTTGAGCGATAGCATTTCTTGGCGGGAACTTTGAGGGAACCAGAAGCATAACTTGCTATGGTGAGTTGTTAGGTAAAGGCAGTTAAACGCCAGGATCAGCTTCTAGAAAGGAGTGTCCTTATTTGCTGTATTTGGTCTGATACCACTTTTTCAGACAATAATTAGATAGCAGGAATCTGTCACCAGCCGATGACACCCCACACTCACATAGCCAAGAGGTCCTCTACCCCCTTGTCTGATTGGCATCTCCAGAAAGTATATTTCATAGTTATTTGAAAACAGAAGTACAGTTGACACTTGAACAATATGGGTTTGAACGGCGCGGGCCCACTTATGTGCAGATTTTTTTCAATAAATACAGTTGTCCCTTCACATCAACGGGTTTCACATCCTCGGATGCAACCAACTCCATTTCCAAAAATAGTATTTTCACACTCCCAACCACAGATTTGCTACTGTTTTTAAATACTGTTTTTGATCCGCAGTTGGCTGAATCCGTGGATGCGAAGGACAACTGTCATTAAGTTTTGGGTGAGTCCGAAGTTATATTGTAGATTTTTTACTTCATGGGGGAGGGGGGGTGGCACCCCTAACCCCTGCGTTGTTCACAAATCAACTGTATAAGATTCTTGAGGCCAGAGGTTTTGATTGTCTTTCTCATTATGGTATCCCAGCACTTCAAATAGTGCCTGGCTCCCAGAGGTCCTCCATAAGCACTTGGTGAATGAATAAATGATGAATGAACACATCAATATAGAAGAATGCTATTTGGATGGCAGAAGTGGGTATCAAGGGTTTTCTCCCTGCTCTCTCTCAACATGAGATTTGTAGTCAAGACACAGACTTTAAATAATGAGAACCAGAATGTGGCTTGGTATTACTCACAGGAAATTATCGAATCTGCTAGATCATTCCTACCAATCTGTGAATGTTTTCTACAGGTATGGGCTTCCTATTGAATCTCTATGACTATTTGTAAAATTGTGACTCAGTGAAGCTGAGATCTGGGGGCTGCCTACCCTATCGTGCTGCAGGCCTCTGCCGGGTCCCTCTGTTGGGTCCCTCTGTTGGGCTGTGCATCTGTGCACACTCCATGAAAGGGCAGGGCCGGGGGGATGGGAGGCAGGCAAGTCAGGGCTCAGCTATGCGTATGAAGCGTGTGTTCTAAATTACACTCTATTCTCCAGAGTCCCAAGAGACCCCATTCATCCAACCATAGTCTGCACTCTTGATTCATGTTCTTATTTTTAAATGTTATTGATAACCTTTTGCTATTTCAGCCTCAGTCTCTTAAGAAATGCACAAAATGGAAAAAATCAGGTCTCTTCAAAGCTCTGGAGCCTTAAATGATGAAGATAAGCAATAGTCTCTCTTGTTTCATTTTTTCTCGTAATCAACTGAATTAATTTGTATACTCATTTTTATTTGAATACAATGACTGTGAAAATTTCAAGCATAACCATCTACAACTTTTCTTAATGGCATGATGTTCTGGATTTTTTCAAAAAGAAAAATACAGTGTCTTTGGCTTCTAATACAGCATCCATATTCTGTACCCATGCTAATTTTTTCTCCTATCTTCTGGCAACATCAGTGTCATCACTCTTTGGTAAATTTAAAGTCACCATTTAATTTCCAATAGAAAAAAAAGTTACATCTAAAATAATCTCCAGCTTCAAAACATACTCGTCAAAATGAATATGCCAAAAAGTCAAAATTATATTCAATAGAAAAATTAGCCCAGAATACTTACTTTCTATTCATTTCCTAGGTTCCGAATTTAATAATTTTGGTAATTTTAATTTATCACAAAGCCTCAGTTTGGGCTGAGCATGGGCAATATAAATGATCAAGCCTGAAAATTCAGGTTAAAATTCTCATTTGGGAGCTTAAATTATCTGTGTTAATTGTCCACACTGGCCAACTAATTTGGGTAAATAAAGCTCTGCTCAACCTTTCTAGAGGCAGAAAAAGTCTTTAATTCAGGATCCTCACCCTGAGTACCACACATTTGTGTTTATTTCTCTATTAAGCTGTTTACTTACTCATGGTTCATTACACTGTATGTATCCAGGGCAGAAAGGACAAGATGGAAAGGAAGATAGAAATCTAGCTAGAGGAGCAGTTCCGCTCCTCCCCGTGTCGAAGGTGTGGTTGGGGGAGAATGGGGCAGGAGAAATTACATTCTTTTAAAGGTTGGGTTTTTTTCTAATCATTTAACTTTTGAGAAAGAATCAACTAATAGTGAAAGGCAACATCCTTTCAAAATGTTTGTGTTTCAAATATCTTCCTGATTATCTAGTTATATGAGATATGTATATAGTTATCTGGAGTTAAATGGAGTGTATGTGGTTATGTGGAGTTATGTAGGGTATATATGGTGGTTTGGAGTTACACAGAGTATACATAGGGTGCCCAAAAAAGGTATACACATTTTTAGAAAGGAAAATTGTATTAAAATTGTAATACCAATATATACCGATAACAAAAGATGAATACAAGTCACGTTTGACTTCTGCAATTAACAAAAAGTGCTCAAAATGGTTACCATCAGTGTCAAGACACTTCTGATTATGGCGAACTATTGCTTGAGCAACATTAACCAAAGTGTCCAGTTGTATAGATTTTTTTGGCACCCCTGGTACATGGTTATCTGGTGTTATGTGGGGGATATATAGTGACTCAAAGCCTGCAGTAGATGTGGGGGGTTGGGCAGAAGGGAGGGCAGGAACATGCCAGCAAGTTTCAAAGTTGAATGGATGTAATAAGCCTGTGGCCATCTCAGTGGGGGGTTTTGGGGGAACACATTTTGATTAATAGTATTTTAATGCTAATTTAGCTTTTTAAGCACTCCAGTGCCCAAAGGCTCTGGTTGTTCTGATAGAAGCAAGGCTTCCCCTCAACAAAAACAAATCAATGATTTTACAGATTCCAACTGGTGTCTTTCAGGGCAGGAAGTCAAAAGCCAGGTGTGTGCGTCCCCGTCCCCGGCAGGCTGCAGAGGGGGCTAACCTGCAGAGCAAGACACCAGCATAGCCAGTGCTGGGAGAGGCCTCTAGATGGTGCAGGTGAGTCTGCAGCGAGGGAAAGCCCCTCTGTAAGGACTGAGTTTCGGAACTCGCAGACAGGAGGGAGCAAGCAGTCAAGGAAGAGTTCCCGGGAAACCCTTTGGAACAGAAGGAAAGTGGGGCTGACAGCAGAGAGGTGCCTCACCCCAGGCAGCTCTGCCGGGCTCCAGCATCTGCTTCTGAGAGCACTGCCGAGTGGCCACCTGTGAAACCTGGTGGCCCAACACAGGACCGTGCCTGGCTTTCTTCACAGACCATCTTCTGCTTGGATTAGAAACTGACTTTCCATCGGGGTCCAGGTAAGCCTTGGTTCCTTTTCTTTGGTTTTCTAAACTCTTCGGCTACATGTGAGACTGAGGTGTCATGGGCTGCAAAACAGCCTGAGTACATTTTTGAAATGCGTGTCATATTTGGGTTGCGTTTGAACAAGCTTTCCCGATTACTATACGTCTGTGCTACCAGTTCTAAGACCTGAGATTGTTCCTTTGTTTTCAGGAAAACATAAGAAACCCTATTTTTCTATTCGGTTAGTGAGACAATTCAGTATGTGCTTAGCAGGATTTAAGATTTGGCCACTGGGACAATGGGTGTCTCCAGAGAGCATGAAAGTGTGTTTCTCAAGTTTGCCCCAGAGCCTGGTCACAGGAAGACAAGCAGCAGCTGGGACTTGAGCTGAGCTCCGTACCTGGGCCCCACCCCTGAGTTCCCACTGTGCCCTTTAAGAGACCTTTCAAGTACAGTTCTGAGTCAAGTCTGAGACCCGAGGTCATGACCCCTATGTTGGGGGGACAGAGAGTGAGGGGCTGGGTATGTATTTCTGATGATTGAGATTTCATTTCCAGCCAAGAGGTACCTCTCAAAGCTCTGACAGGTCACGGAGTAGTTTGGGCTCCTGCACAAGACCTGGCTCTGTTTTCCCAGCATCCTGCAGCAATCGCTCCCGCATTGCAGAGGCTACAGGTGTTAGGGCCGAGAGGACAGCAGGTGAGGGTTTGAGAGGGACAGTTAAAGGAATAATGGGTGGGGAGTGAGGTGACAAATCAGCAGAGCAGAAACCCTGTCAGTCAGGATAATTGGACAGAGTAAATGGGACACTGGGATATGAGATGACAGGAATGAAGAAGCGAGCGAGGGGGGGAGCATAGAAAGACCAGGCCCCACTTCCTCTCCTCTCCAACTGGCTGCTGCACCATGGTTCTGAACTTTCACGTCTGAGACAGGTCTAGCCAAGAGTGAAGCTGCAGCCAATTCAAAACATTAAAGAGGTAAAAAGCCATAATGGACTAAAAGAGAAAAGGAATCAATTCAAGTAATTAAGGTAGAGAATATTTCTCGCCCGACTTGGCATTCTGAGATTTCTAAGCCACAGCCACGTACAACCTTTAAAGTTACATTTTGACAGAGTCCACCAAAAAAGAGAGTTACTCATCAAAGTTGGGAAATTTGCATTTGTCCTGAGGATGTCCCCCAAGTGCCCTTCATCACCGGAGGAGAAGATTGGGGGCCCTGGTGACGATCGGCTGAGGTCTCTGCTCTACTCTCTCCCCACCCTTAAGGCTGTACTCTATTAACTTGTGACGGCACTTTTGGAAAGTAATCCTGGAAGCACATGTCTTTGGGAGAAAAAAGTAAATAAAATTTCCCTGAAATGTTTGATTTTTCACTCTGTGGGCACTACCCGGTTTCTGAAAGTAAACAGGGTTTTCATTTTGTTGACGACACATACAGAAGGTGCCCAAAAAATGTATACACATTTTAAGAAAGAAAAAAACTGTACTAAAATTGTAATACTCAGTATACACCAATAACAAAAGATGAATACAAGTCATGTGTATACACTTTGGGGCATCCCAGTATTTGCCAAACTCAGAAGTGTCAGGGGCTCCCCTTTCTTTCTAAAGCGTCACTGTGTCTCTGAACCTAGCACAGCGCCTACCATAGGCAGCAGCCCAGTGTTTGCTGGGGAAGTGAAGACAGGCCTGGTCTTACACCCCGCTCCCCATTTCACAGGGTACAAAACCATGTTGACTCTTTTCACTGGGGAGCATCTTCTTGTCCAAAGCACTGTAAGTCTCAAAGGACCACAGACAGAAGCCAGGTCACCTGAGTCTCCTTCCCGGGTTCAGGTGGATAAGTTTCGTGGTTTCCGAAAAATGGAATCCATTCACAAGGAAATGCCCAGGAGCCCAGCTTCAAAGACTCAAGAAAATTTGAAATTCAAACACAGTAGCTATAAACAGGATGGCGTTTTAAAAGGCAGCCCAAAGATTAAACGGCTCAGCCCCTCAGGTGGGTTCCCTCCTCAGCCTGCTCAGTGTCCTGTCTGCACGCCTCTTAGCAGCTTTCCTCCTGGCCCTGGTTTTCTCAATTATCCCAGAGACACCTGCCTGCTCACTCCTTTGATGCTGTTTTAGGCTCTGCCTAGGTAATTCCACCCTAGTTAATAGCATCATTAATTAACTTACATTAAGCTCACTTAGCACATTAGCTCAATTAGAAAACAAAGGGCCAGCCCCTGCCGCTGAGAGCCCCGCCACCATCACAACCTACCATATTGTGGGTATATTTACATATTTACATATTGTGGGCAAGACTATATTCAATCCCCAATTATTATTTTCTTAAAAAATAAAGCAAAGAAAGATTAACTGATGTCCAGTCATTTAACCTCAGGCTTACATTTCTATAGCACTTTACAAAGCATTTTCATGCGTGGTTTCCCTATTTTCTAAATAAGGAAATTGAGGCTTAGAAAGGTTAAGTGACTTGCCCAAAGCCATATAGCTAATAATGATTATGATACCCATGACAGCTGACATAGGTTGCATACCTAGAATGCCCAGGCATCGTGCTGTGTAACTTGTAATTAGAAGGAAGGACTAAAACTAGACTCTTTGTCCCTTGCCTCAGACTGATACGTTTGCCTGTGTAAAGACAACTGGAGAAGGTACGTTGAAAAGCACAGGTAAAAGTTAGGGGTAGAATGAGTAAATGTTCCCTTTTGCATATGTCATTTTCCCGGGGTTATGTCAACCCAAACACCACACTATTTACTGGCCACTTGTCCTCATCAGAGGCAAGGGCTAAGGAGGAAACAATCTCTGTTTCATTCTTTGTGAGCTACCCAGGTAAAGGATTGATAATAGAAGAAATACTGTAGTGGAAAATATGAAATTGCTGTTTATATATAGCATAAACATAGTCAAATATAGGTAATTTCAGGTGGTTCACTCTAATATAGTCTAGTGACTTAAGAGAAACTTTCAAAATGGCTTTTGGGGTTCCAGAATCCCAATAACTCCTTGGCCTCTGTTAATGCAAACAATTGAGACCAGACTTAATTTTTCATCATTGTCTGTCCTAAGGTAGTCACAAAGCATTGCCCAAAGGTTGTTAACCCTATTGTATAATCAAAGCTAAGGAAAAAGCTTTGTCCTGGATCTTGGCAGGAGGGCGGGCATTCATCAGATGGTATATAAGGGACTCCTACAACACAAGGTGTCCTCAGTCCCAGCGTCCTCTCCAGCACATAGTGGGCACTCAATAAATGAATGGGATCCTTTGTGTCAAAAAAATGTCACCAGTTGTTCTAATCACACATTGGGGAGAATGGGGCTGCCTGAACACCTAAGAAGCCTTAATCAACAGGCAAAAAAATTCTAGTTAGCAAAGCTACCGTCTCTGGGTGCAGAGACATGTGTTATTTCTTAAAGGCTGGGTACCCGGGGATGTCACACACTCTGTTTGGCCACATGGTATAACAGACACATGCTGGCAAAGCTGAAGGCCCTTGCCCTCTGCCCAGGTCCTCCTCAAGTTCTCTGTGCACATAGATAACACACTTAACTAACCAGGAGAACTTTGTTTTCCATTTCTGACAAATTGAATCACTGGAAAATGGGTGGGTGGTAATGACCCTTGCATAGGGAGATGCACTTCATTGGTAGCCACAGCTGTGCCACCTAGTGAGCTCATGTCATCTCAAGTCACCTCACCAGCTGGTAAACCAGACTGTGCTCTACACATGGCAGGAAGTTGCCTTGGCTTGGGAGCCCTGTTGGAATCAGTAGTAGAGCAGTAATAGCCACAGTTACATTGTCAGTACTAATGCCAGCGAGGTCCAGGGTGCTTGGAAACTAAGCTGAGCTGTGGTATTTCTATATCCCTTAAGATTGATCCCATTAAATGATACCATTCAATGGCTAGATATAAGCAACTAAAAGGTGAGCCCAAATACTGAAATAAGGTATTAGTCTCCTGAAAATAATAGGGAGATAATTCTGCCAACAACACTTTCATCCTGATATAAAGCACTTTCTTAAGATTGAAAGAAAGACACACAAATCTAGAGTGCAAATAAGAACTGAGAGGTCACGGTTTTCACCACTACAGACCATTACCAAATCTTTTCTCTTAAAATGTCCATGTTGCTATATTTCCAATTCCATCTTCCTTAAACTCCATGCACAGGAAAAAGAAGAAGGTAGGATTTCACATTGGATTTAATATACATTCATTCAACAGCTCTTTCCTGAGCCTCTGCTGCATGGCAGGCACTGTCCTTGGTATAGTGACACAGCAGTACTTTGCTTTGCCAAGCCTACCTTCTAGTGTAGAGAGAAGCCTTAATACAAAGATACAATAGAATGTAACTTCAGAAAAATTTGACTCCATGAGGAAACAAATAAGCAGGGCAAGCAGAGAGAAAGTTCTTGGGATGGAAGTGAGGGGGACCTCTTTTTTTAAAAAAAATATTTGTATTGGGGAATTGGAGGATGGGAACAGTGCTGGGGAATTGGGGGAAGGGGAACAGACAAGTTGCTGTCCTTTTTGTTCTTCAGTCTAGTTGTGGAGGACATTGCTTCACT